ATGGCAATCCAGCTTGGTGGAAATCGTGCTCCCGAAATTTGTCCATGGGGTACATTGGCCTTTTCAACCGTGATTGTGATGATCGCACGGCTCGGGCCATACGATCTGACAGTGGTGCGGTTCGGCAGCTGTGTCTTGTCGAAATCATCGCGTGTATTCCTTGTCGTCTACGTTGTCGGGCGCGCCGAGAAAGCATCTGAACACAACAAATGTTGTTCCCCAGTGTTTGGATCTCTCGGAAGTGTGACGCGCCAACAGCTCGACTCTGGATGCGCGGTTTCCACAGACAAAGCGATAGATCGCGCTCCAAAGTCTCAGGACTATGCCTTTGTATCCTGCACGGATGAAGGACAGCCTTTGTCTTTTCGTGAAAAGCCGGATCATCGAAGAGGAATACTTTAGCTTTGTTGATGCACAGGATGTGTGCACAGTTTTGGGTCATCATCTTCACCACTTGTCGTTCACTCACCGGGGATGTCCTTGACTACTCTTCCCTGCAACTTGGGTTCTTGGTCAGCGATCCAAGATTCGCCGTGAGCACATTGAGCATTGAGGATGACATGCGTGGGTCGGCTGGTTGTTGACTGTAGCAAGGACCCAAAGATCTTCGCGTAAGCGTCGGTTTTCTTCCCCCGAAGTGTGTTTGTCGACCTTCTTCATTCCAATGAAGAGTCTGATGGGATGTCCTGACCCAGACTCTGACTGTGCCTTGAATAGTAGCAGCGCTTCCGGAGAGTTCGTCTTTGGATTGACATGCGCCAGGGAATCAACCTTGCACGCAATTGCTTCTTGCTGTCCGCCTCGGTGACTGGTGGAACAATATAGTTACCCAACAGGTTCTGGATGATGTCCTCGGTGTTGGATGGATGATAGAAGTCCACGTTCGTCTTTGTCTGGGCCGGGTCATGAGACATCCCTGACACTGCTGAGTCGAAACCCTGGATCTTCTATTCCTCGTTTGCTCTCAATTGTGAGTGAAAAAATCGTCCATGAGTTCACCAAGCCTTGTGGTGTACTTCATTGCTCAGCATTTTCTCTTGTCAGCGTTCTCTTCCGCATGATGGCTGAGTTGTGGACGGGTTGCTTGTCGGACATGAACGCGGCGATGATGTTCTTTGTAGATTTTTCTCATCCGTGAGCGCCGTCTTTTTCTCCGGTGATCTTTATGTGGGAGCTCTTGTCGGGAGAATGGTCATTGCGTTTCTCCCGGCGGGAACGTTCTGAAGCCGGAGCGCAGATAGTTCGTCATCGGTTATGACATCATGAAGACATGCCATGTGAACGTGCTGGCGGCTTTCGCCATGGAGTTCCACCCCTGGCTTCAGCCCATTGTCCAGGGCTCGGCGTCGCTGGTCGTGGGAAATGAAGTTCATTCTTCTCTTTCTTGGCATTCACTTCAGCTGGCCGTCGAGTCTGGATTTAGACTTGGGCTGAGGACCTTCCGCTCGCTGTTGTCATGGCTGTCTCCTGTCTGTTGTGGGAGATCATAGCCTGGCCTTCCTGCTGGGTACTGTCCCATCTCTAGCGCTCCTGGTAGATCGCATCATTTCCATAGCTCCATCTCCCTGTCTTCCTTACAATCTACGACGAGCAGGTATCACTCTACCTGAATCTTCACATTGTACATGTGGTAGGTCGTGCGTCTGTCCGCCATTGCTTTGCTTTCCTTCCGCAGAGAGCCCCTCGGGTTCGACGCGCCTTTGCGAAGATCTCGTTCTTCAGCAAGAAAAACGACACCTGCTCGTTGCGATGGGTAGCCAATGATCTTGTTTCCACCGCGAAGTGGCCAGAACGTAGCGGAATGCTCCTGACGGTCTTATTTGTGGCGCAAACGTCCGCAATCGCGAAAATTGGTAACCAACGTGGAATGAAGTTCACGATTGTAACCAATTGCTCTGACCTAAAACCCTTCTGTGTGCAGCGCGCGTCTGCGGTGCCAAACGAGTGTCATCTACCCGGCGGATGAGTGCAAAACTAGAAGCGCGCGATCATCGTCTGTCATGCGCTTGCGTGACCGGCTCATGGCCTGGCTGGACTTCCCCCATTGCTTGGGGGCTGCCTCGCACAGGCATTGCCCTTTCACAGATGAAGAAAAGTGGATGGCGCATTTCCATATGGACCTGCAGAATCTTGGCTTGGAAGGAACGCCTCAAAATTGGCCCTCTACTTGCTGTTCCTCAACCCCGCTGCCTGGAAAGGCTGCTCTGCCTGCAAAACAGCCCTTTACTTGCCTGCCTTGTGGAATCATTGCCCTTGCCACAAATCAAGAAAAGTAGATAGAGTCTCTGCTTGCAAGTAAATTTTCACCTCTACTTTGGACTTCCCCGCTGCCTGGGGGCTGCCGTGGCACTGCCCCTGCCACCAAGCAATTCCGAGAATCTCGCGCCATGTACAAGTCCTATTTTATTTGCAAGAATATCCACTTGAGCTGTAACCCAACATGGAAATTCTCAACTGGGCCAGAGCAAAACCACACTTGGATAGGACAATTAAGTTCAACATTCTTCCATCTTTTGAACCGCTGCGTATGCTTTTTTCAAAGTCTGTGATGAGTCGTGCGTAAAGAGATCTGTCGTGATCCGCCAAAATGGCGGCATGCTATCTCTTCGGCGCATTAGGGTGACGCGCTTTCACCCTAAGACTGTGAAAGCCGAAATGCAAATCTAACTGAGTGTCAGTTAGCCGTCCAAATTGGACAGGACTTTTACCATTTAAGTTCTAGGCTAGACTCCGGACTTGCAATTCTATCTGATTTCAACTGAACATCACATATGGATAGGAACGTCGGTTTGACCTCTAATTAAAAGTTATGGCGCGTATTCAACCTTTAGAAACACTACATACGCGTTGGTGTTTGTGAAAACTTTGCCAATTGAACCCGGTTTCGAAAGACCGAACACCTACGTCCAAAAACAAGAAATCGCTGTCTATCGGGATAGAACTCTTGACGAATAGGTTTGGTTCCAAACCTGGAGTTGAAACCGAAATCTGCAAGTCGGCAAGTGTGCCAGCGATAGAATCGCCAACCGGCCCGGGTCAAGGCGCACAGGTTTCTCAAACGCAGAATACCGGCAACCGCGGGCGTAACAAGGTGCACGATCTCGTCCAAATACACCCGCATGCTGCGAGCAACGGACTGAATGCGTGCTTTGGAACCTGCGCAGCGTTGCTAAAGGACAGAACATGTGCCTTGGAATCTGAGCCGGAACTCCTATCAAAATATGACTTTTGCTCAAGCTCAGAACTCAGTTAGAGTGTCAATTCCAGATTGGAACTTTAATGGGAATTCCTTTGCATTTTGGCCCCCGCCAACAATTATCTTAGAATTCCGTGGGAAAATATGAAATTGGCTAGGAAGCCCTGCCCAGCGGAGATGATACTTGACATTCAATTCTCTAGTTCAAACAGGAGTTCCTGTCTCAATGAGTTTGCTGTTACGTTTACTTAACTAGAGTTTGCGTTTCAGTTGAGAACCGTGAGCCGGAGAGATAGACGAATGCCACCGTTTTTCACAGATCACGGCGGATCATTTCATTAGCCAACGTGTGAAAAGCCTCACGAAGTCACAAACATAACGCGTTCTAAAGGTTGAGCGCGTGCCATCATGTAGGAGCCGAAATTCCTACCCATTGGCGCTCTGAATGTGAACTCGGCTAGAATTGCAAGATTGGGGCGCTGACTTGACACCCGAAAAGAATTTGCATTAAAACACCAAATTTCACAGCAGTTCCATTCCGAGAAAATTCGCAAGTACTCTTAATTTGAACTTTCATTTCAGCTTGGAATCAAGACTGTTTCCTCACCAGCCAGGACTTGACTCGCTGTTGTCGGCGCTTTCGTAGTCTTAAAAAGGTGCAGGTTGAATGTGTACTACGCGTGAACCGTAGAGATAGATAGCAAGCTAGCATTTTGCTGGATCACGGCGGACCAATTTATGAGTCAACGTGTGGAAGCCACAAAGTCGGAAACACAAACGCACACACTGCGCTTTCGAGGATGAAATGAGTCCCGCCAATTAGAACTGGTCGTGAAACCGCAATTTGGGCCGGAACCCCTGCCCAAATGTGGCTTTGGGTTATTCCAAGTTGACGGTCTACATGAAATTCTGGTTGTGAATGGAAGTCATGCCCAATGGCTTGGTTGTGCAAAATTCAGTTATACTTGCCATTTCCAACCCGGCTTTGAATGGAAGTTCTTTGCCGAGTAAGTTTGCAACTATGTTTACTGTAAACGGAGTTTGCATTTCAGCTTAAAAAAACGACATCTTTGGCAACCAAATTTGGTGCGAGTGTCAAAGCGCAAGGTGAACCCTCTGCGGGGGTCGTGCGTGTCGGAGCGCCCTCGCTGCGGCGCCGTGCGAAATTGTCAGGCGCGGAAGCAGCGCGCGAAGTACACTCCAGCAGCCTTGTCTCGAAAGACGCAACTTTTAGATACGAAAGTAGCACGCGAAGGCCATCCCCGCAGCTTCGGCTTGAACGTTGCAACTGTAAGAGCCAAAGTAGCGCGAAGCACGTTCCTGCGGCTGCGGCTCGAAAGACGCAGCTTTCGAATATGAACACGCTCCCGTGGCAAGTTGCTTGTACGTTGGCAAGTGATAGGCGGTTCGCCAGTTTTTCTGGAGGAGTGCAATATCAGCATGGTTGTTGCTCGAACTGTCTCAAAGAGTTTCTGTTCAAGTGGTGTTATGTGAACATAGCCGCCCATATTTGAAAGGACCCCGCGCTGATGCCAACAAACCTCCCGAGCCATGTTGTGAGCAGCTAACCCGAAAAGCGAGCGTCGCGTAAAACCAGGGTTGTTCCTCCCCAAAGCATGTTCACATGGCTGAATTGTTTCGGAAATGTTTCATGGCAACCCTGTGTTTGCGCAGAGTTGTTTGCAGTTAGTGGAGAACAGAGGCATCGGTGGAATGTGCGAGTGCTGCAAGCTCCATATTTCGTCCATTATATTTCTCAAGGGCTTGTTTGGTTCTCTACAGCTCTTAGTGGCTGTACCTGGAGGCCTGACTTGGACGCAAAAGCCTTCATCAGTGACTTCACGCGCACCGACAGCGCGCTACCCCAGAGTTCTGTGAGTTTGACGGGTGTTCCTTCAGGTGCAACGAGGTCTAGGAGCGCTGAAGCCAAACCTAGGCTGCAGCATGGCGAGCGGCAACGGTGCCAGCAAGGCGAACGGCTCGCCAGCGTAATACACTTGCGCTGAAAGCGAAGGAGCCACTGGTTCTGCGTCACCCCCTTGCCACTTTCGCAGCACAAGACCTTACTTCCCTTACTTCCAAACTGGTCTGTCCCACGCTGCCCAGTTTTGGTTGCCAGGCGGGCGACAGGCTCTACATGACAGGCCGGAGTGTTCGGAGTGAATGTTGCACATTTGCCTGAAAACCAGGCTCCAGCATAGCCATTGAATTTGCACATTCCGTGACATCGCATCTGCCTCATCTTGCACTGCCACGAAGCTGCTTGCAAGCGGCGCTGGGATCGAGTTGGGTATCTATGATCCTGACACCGCGACGCTGAACGTGCTATTTGTTTGCTCTTGCTCCTTGAGACGTTGGATGCAAGAAATGGGTCCGCGAGGCTCAGTTCTGCGCAGGGGCAGCCTGCGCGACATCGTTTCTGCGCAGGCGTAGGATCTAACTGCAGCGGGTTCACCAGGAGGCTCCGAGTCCCAAGCTACCTTGGCTTTTGAGCTGAGATGTCCTCGGCCACCTGCGCTCGTTGGCCCCCCTAAAGCTGTGAAACTCGGCCGAATGGCCGTGATAACTTGCGAGCTCGTGCCTTTGCAACACGCAACTTGGGTCAGCCTCGTCAAAACTACTTGTTCTTCAGTGTTGCAAGGGCACGTGCTACACAGTGCCGCCAACCCCTTCGCTTCACCAGCTTGGGCCTCGGAAGTCACGCTGAAAGCACGAAAGAGCGGCGAAACAAATGTTTGGCGCTGAAGGATAGCGTGGCGGTGAAAGAGCGGCAGGGGGTCGTCTGCGCACTCGCTGCAGCTGTCGTCTGTGCGCTTGGATTTTGGTCGTGCGCGCGCTCGCTTTCTAGCGAAGCGTTTGTGCGCTTTCCAGCAAAGCGCAGCATCGCGCCGCGTTCGTGTGTGCGCTCGCCGGCGCGTGCTCGCGTTCACCTGCGCGCCCACCCCGCCCCCCGCTTTATCTCATAAAAGCGGTCGCCGCCCGGAAGTTTGAGTGCACTTGAGCAGGGGTTTGCGCAGATGGACCAGAATTTGAGTGCGCAAAAATGAGAAGAGGTCGGTGAGCGCGCAGCTGGCCGGAATCTGAGTGCGCAGATGACCCCCTCGCCAATAAACGGAGTCATGATTGTCCTCGGATTCTTTCACGTGTTTCCATGGCCTTGCTGTGTTCGCTGCTACTTGGCGCGAAGCTGGGACCAGTCAATGCCCCGTGCCAAGCAAGCAACAGCAAAACTCTCCCGACTTTGGCACCTTATTGGCAGCAATGCCGGGGATGCTATCATCACACGCGTACGCAGCGCTGGGGAGGCCGTACGCAGCGCTGGGGAGTGGGGAGGGCATTATCGTCATCCGCAGGGGGTTCGCGATGATGAGGGTGATAACGATGACAAGCAGGCTTGCTGAGCATCAGGAGTGAGAAGCGACGTCTGACATCTGTTGCTTTCGGGTGCTGTATCCTAGCTTTCCATGATAGAGGAGGATTTAAAAGTGATGTTTGGCATCCTTTAACTTCCTTTCCTGCCCGTGTCTGGGCCGTTTCCGGGCTTCCGTTTTCGGGATTGCTTCAAGCCCTTCATGCTCCAACAGAAAATACCCTACAAGACATGTTCGGAAAGGCGCCGCCCAAAACATGGAAGCTGCCAGCCACGCAGCAAATCTCGCTGCCCAAACCCGGGAGCTGCCACTGGTGTAA